CAGCCTGGTAACACTTCTCCAACGTGATATGCAGCCCCACGCTCCCACCCGCTCGCTTCCACCTGCTTTTGCACACCCCTGCTTAGCTTTCGGACCGTGGGGTTGCAAGGGGCATGCCTGCCTTCCCTTCGCACAACTGCACAGAGCAGGGGAGGACCAGGAGCGCAGGTGCTGCCAAGGCAAAGAGTCCTTGGGGCAGCAGCACCTGCCTACTGGGAACTGCAGCACCAATGTACCTTTAGACAACATTTCTCAAGGAAGGTTGGTCAGAGGTGAGTATATACCTTTATTGCTTTAAGGGAGTGGAGTGTGGCAGTTGGATTTGGAAAAGCGATATTCAGAAAGCTCGTGGGGGGGAAAAAAGTATCGCTTGGACATTGGTTTCTACTGCAGTCAGAGCTAGCATTGCAGAAGCCTGTCGTTCGCAGTAAGACAATGCACAGCAAGCACCATTCCAGGCATGCCATCATTGTAGATATGTTTCACAGTGTGGGCCAGGGAGAAATGCAAGTCTATAAGGTCAGGGGATATGCTACAGAAACAACCATGGACTTTTGCTGTGTCCAGTGGGTTAGGTTAAACCACAAGTGCCAGCAGAAGTTCCTGCATCAAGTTTGACTGGTTTATGGATGGGAGTGGTGTCAGATAATCTGCGAGCTCAATGCTATGCACCATCAGGGCTTCTACTACACTATCTCATGCTGTTGGATTCATATTGGGCACTCTCCCTGTAGTCTCAAGAATGCATGTATCTACTTTGCTTAAAATACACTGTTTGCCACATTACCTACACGCGCAGTACCCATGTACTGAACCGTGATCCATTTGTTGCTCAGCTCATACAAGGGTTACACCAGTTCAGCACCCCACCTTGCTGAATCCGGGTGTAACAGCATTCAGCACTGAGGAAGCACGTTGTCAAGTTAGATTTGCTCATAGTATGGAAATTCAACCTAATGTGATACCCCTGTTCCAAAAGTTACCTCTCATTTCCAGAAGTGGATGCTCAGTCTGGGGCGGCTCCAGAATCTCCTATTCCTTGCCAGCACAACATGAATCGGCTCCAGGACTTCACCCTTTTGAGATTCAGTCGTAGAGCCACAGACTTGCTTGACAGTGATACGGCCATTGCCCTGCTGCCAACTCAGGGGGTGGCCAGCAGCAGCAGATACATCACGAATCAATATTGCTGCTGCAACTGTGCTCCTGACTAGTGCTTTCAGCAGGGAAGGAAACGCAAGAAGAAAACTGAACAGTGTAGAAATGGAAGTGTTTCTTGAAGAAGCAGTGCACGCAGAGGAACACCAAACGCAATACACAGAACTATTGCGAAGGGATGAACTAATGGTTCCTAACTAGAAGCTGGTTCCAAAGATAGCTATTCTTGTCTCCTCTTTTTTCTGAGTTCATTTACTGCGTATGTTCATATGTCGACATGCCCGCGTTGTGGACAGGTGCTAGTCCAAGTGACTGAAGAACAATGTCCCTCTGTTTCACTCAAATATTGCTCTGTTATATATTACAAAAGCTGCTTTACTATGAGCAGGAGCACTGACAAGGGTAGTCTTGTTTTCCAACCATTTGACCCAACCTTTATAAACTCTTCAGGGATTAGTGATTGCTGATTAAACTAATCTGGGTGAAAGGTATGAAAACAGCTTTCATCCTACAAATCTATGTGTGAAGAGTAACTCTGAAAGTAAACCACTCTCTAGAAGTAACCAAGAGGTTTGCAGACACTGCCTGCCATTAATCTCTGGGTATTCCTCTTACAGATAAGAGTTGGGAACTGCTGTAAGAAGGTGGATGTAATTCTGGGACTGAAATGCACAGACCTGTCTAATCTCGTGGAGGGTCTGCCATAGGCCCCAGAATTATCATTCATTAAGACCTAGTGCCGGGAGCTGAGGGCATCAGAAGCAAAGCTCCCGTAATACCAGCTGCAAAGACAGACTTCGGCAGCAGAGTGGGAGTGGTCCTTCTTTGGACAAAGATGCACAGGGGCAACTCCAGCCCAAACTGCCCAAGACAAGCCCTGACCTTATCCTGTAGGCTTTCTTATGCTTCCAACTCTTGTCGTCTTCTTTCTCCTACAGAGCTTGCAGTGGCCCAGTGCACGCAGCGCCCCGTTGACATTGTCTTCTTGCTTGATGGCTCTGAAAGGATCGGGGAGCAGAATTTCCACAGGGCCCACCACTTTGTGGAGGAGGTGGCCCGACAGCTCACTCTGGCCAGGACCAACAGTGACAACATGAATGCCCGGATTGCGCTGCTGCAGTACGGCAGTGAGAGGGACCAGGATGTGGTCTTCCCATTGACCTACAACCTGACGGAAATCTCCTACGCCCTGGCACAGATCAAATACCTGGACTCATCCTCCAACATTGGGTCAGCCATCATACACGCCATCAACAACATCGTGCTCAGCCCCGGCGATGGGCAGCGACTCGCCCGGCGCAATGCCGAGCTCTCCTTCGTCTTCATCACCGATGGCATCACAGGAAGCAAGAACCTCGAGGAGGCCATCAACTCCATGAAGAAGCAAGACGTCATGCCCACGGTAGTGGCTCTCGGGAGTGATGTAGACATGGATGTCCTGATGAAGCTTGGCCTCGGGGACCGGGCAGCCATCTTCCGGGAGAAGGACTATGTCAGCCTCTCCCAGCCCAGCTTCTTCGACAGGTTCATTAGGTGGATATGTTAAATGGAGTGCACATGTCCTCCTCTCACCAGTATACACACCCTTGATACTACCTGTTTTATTTTCTTCCCTCTGTATGGTTGCTAGCAACTCTGAGCTGGCCCAGAACAGCTGCCCTCTGGGTCCTCCTTTCTAGCCAAAAACCAGAGCTCTTTTTTGATTTTTATGATGAAAAGTCATGTATCTTACATTTATGGTGCTAATTAAAACTAAGATTGAAGCAGGATACAGAGCCATAAGACGTACTTCTGTAAAGCTTTACACACACCAAGCCATGACTTGCGTATGTACTGTAATCTTAGGAGGGCTTATCAGAGAAGAGAGAAACCTTTGTAGCAGGACAAATGATCATCTCTAGTTTTCAAAAACTCTCAATAACCCTCGATGTCCTGTGAGGAGCTTTACGGTTGTGACATACCCCGTTCTTTAGCAAACCCTTTTCCAGATTATCTCATCTTTTTTGTCCTCCCGGTACTTCTGCCCTGAGAGGACCCAGTGAGTTTATGACACATCCCATGCTGCTTGAAATGGTCAACAACTTGCTTTCCTTTTGCATGGCCCTTGGTGTCTTGCTCCTCTTTCCCAGGAGCAATGGGATGGTGAGAGGTTTTGCTGCCTTCTACAGTTGTCTGTAGATGCTCCTTTTGGGAGTCTTAGCTATCCTAGATTTCACAGATGATGTTTAAGACCTCTATCTTCCAGTGGGCTTCCTCCTGCCATTCCAGCCTTCATCAGGACCTGTTCATTTATTACGGCACCCAAAATTCTGGCTAAGAGGAGCAGCTCGCCTCCCAGCATCTCAGAATAGTGGGCAGCCACCAGAGCTGCCTCCCTGTCATCCCAATGTGCTCCAAGTAACCATGGTGCCTTCTTCCCACCGGTATCTGCTGAGCAATGCCCAGATTTGAACTTGAATTGTGCTATTTGCAAAAATAAATGAACTCTTTTCACCCTACCCTGCACAAGCCTCTTTATTCTGTGGTTTGCCTCTTTTTAAAATTTATTTTAAATGAGCAGCTGATTCTTCCGGTGCTATGCTAGTAAGGCCAGATAAGTTTGTCTTCTGCCTCTCCTCGCAAATTCTGGAGCGCAAAGCCAAGGGTCCCTGCAGCACAGGGGTCACTTCTGAGGACCTGAAGGACCACAGGAGGCTGATGGGGTCCCCCCAGCCCTTCCCGTTGTCTCCAGCAGTGCCCTTTCAGACCCGTTCCTCTGCCCCCCAACCCCACACACCCGCAGGGCCCATCCAGACCATGACCTCTCAGCACAATAAAGATGACATCTTCATGTTCCTCACTTGTTCATGGGTGAGGAGAGCTCAGGTGCCCCTCTTTGAGGGGGATGTGCCTTCCCCACTGTGAAGGTGGCATTGCACCCGAGTCGGGCTTTATCTAGGCTTTCTTCAGCCCCTCTTGCATCCAACGCTTGTGTGTCTCAAGCCAGGACAGCGGGGCAGGGGAACCGTCCAAGGATGGGGACATTTCTGTAAGGTGGTGGAGGTGGGATGGGGAGGAGAGGCCGGGCAGGGATTGGGTTGCCCGTAGGGGACCCCGGGCATGGGGTGCAGGGAAGGGCACGGTGATGGGGAGCTACAGCCACGCGTGCTGCAGTGTGACTGCCATGCTTTCCCTCCTTCAGAAAGGAGAGCTGTAGTGGAGCTTTGAAGGTCACAAGACAAAACACGACTGCGTCCAGAGAGGAGCTGCAGAAGTGAAAATCCCACCGCCCCAGCACACGTACGTGCACAACCAGCAGTGCAACAAGGACGACCAAGGCTGTGCTGGCAGCAAAGCTGGGTGAGATGGGCGGGCTGCACCACCTCTTTTGGAGATCCCCTCTGCCACGGTGAGCTGCTCGTGTTTGCACCACTGTGTCCAGCAGCCAGTCACACTGGCTGGCAGCAAAGCTTTCTTGATAATGGGGCTGGGAAGGCTCCTCTTGAGCCATGACAATGAGCAAAACAAAAAGAAAACAGCAGCAAAAGCATCCCTGTGTTAAAATTGTTGCGATGAAGGCACTGCCAGGCTTTCCACCTTTCCTAGCAAGCACGCCACAGTGCCATGGCTGTGGCTCAGAGGCCTCAGAAAGAGACATCACTACTTTTTCCTATTAATTATTACCCTGGATTGGAATATGACTACCCATACAGCTCAGCGAGGGGGAAAGTTACAGCATTCCTCGGCCAGCCCCTCTGCTACAGCTGGGAAAGTTCACGCAAAATGTAAGGACTTCCACGGGCAGTGGGATCCACGTTAGCAGCCAGCATCATGGCACAGGAAAAAACACGCGGACACCAGCAGACTGCAAACCAGCACGTGATACTCCCCGCACTGCTACCTGCAGCCTCGGGGATGACTTTCAGTGGGCTCTCCCAAAGGACAGAGGAGGGAGCTGCTGCCCATCATCTCACAGTGATTCCAGGTCAAAGAATTTACAAGCTAAAAAGGAGAAAATCACTCAGCAGGCCAAGCACTGCTCTAAGAGAAAGGGGAAAGGAGTGGAACAACGTGCAGGTGGTTCCCGTGGGGTGTTCGTCTTCGTGTTTTGCCGCTTCATGACCGTGCAGGTGGGAGATATCCTCTTCAGTCAGAGTCGGAACTGCTGCTTGAGCTGCTGGAGTGCTGGACGAGATAAAAACGACTTCAGGATAGCACAGAACCAACCCTCTCGTTGTTAGCGATCCTGCGGCGGGCGCCCGGTGCCAGTGCCCAGCCGGGTCCGGGTCGAGGTGCAGCAGCGGGGGCTGCAGAGCCACCTCTCCCCAAATGCCTTTGCACGCCAGCAAAAGGTGTGCCCGCAGGTTTGAACGCTGGTCAGATTGCAAGCCAGTAATTAGTTAATGTCAAGGCCCCCGGGGGGGACGGTGTAGAGGGAGTCAGCACAGCACCACGGCCTCAGTCAGCAAACCCCAGCTGGGATACCTTGACTTGAAGATAAAACTAATAACAATGTTTATTGCAGTGCTGTTGCAAACTGCTTTTTAGAGTTTGGAGCCATTGCTTTTCTGCTTAGAGAATATAATTGTGAGCGTATCATGGGAGGGCTGGGGGTTTTATTATTATTTTACAAGGCTGTTCGGGCCAATTAAGCAAAATCCTGGAGGGTCCTGCTTTCTGCCAGTGAGGGCAAATGTCAAGGCAGATCACCTGCCAAGCCCTTCAACAGCAAGAGGAGCCAATGGTTTGCTTTGTTTGGGAAATGCTCCTACCTCCAGTGGTGGAACCGGGGTCTTGTTTAGCAGTCCCCCACTCAAACCTACTCTAGATGATGCCTGTCCCTGGAAGGGCATTTCCTGCAGCATGTCCTTTTGCATTTCCTCCATTGCTTTTCCTTGTTTGGTTTTTTTTTGTTTGTTTGTTTGTTTGTTTTTGTTGTTTTTAAGAGGGAACTGAACTGCTCCTCTGCTGCAGGAAACTGAGCAATTGGCCCTTTCAGAAACACGACCCACTCTTGAGTGGGCAGGACAAAGTCCTGGGATTTAATACACCATTGTGATGCACCCTGAGCTGTGTCCCTATTCTGAATAGCTTCAAGGAATTTCACGGATCACCTTTCAAAAGACTCACTTGAAATGACTCATGATTGCCTGTTTATTAACCAAACGGGAGTCTCCATGTCTGAAAAAAATCCACTGAGGTCTCCAGCCACCGCAGGGTGGAAGAGGGAGCCCCAGCTGCCTAAGCTGGATGCTGTGGGATGCGTGAGGGGGTGAGAAGGACCACAGTAGAGATTTTGGAAGGCTCCGCTGCCACCTCGCTCTTACCTTGCCTCCATGGTGCTTGGAGTGCTTCTTCTTGTGCTTCTTATGGTGCTTCTGATGGCAGTGAGGGGGGCACGGTGGGCACCCCGTCATTCCCGGTGGTCCCGGATGGGGGTGCCCATGGGGATGATGCCCTGGATGGGGGTGCCCATGGGGATGATGCCCTGGATGGGGGTGCCCATGGGGTTGCTGCCCTGGCGGGTAGGGGCCAGGAGGAGAGGGGCCACAGGGATAGCCACCTTGGGGGCCCTGGGGACAGGTCCCAGGGGTGCCAGGAATCACTGGAGGGTAGCCAGGGTAGGGACCTGCTGGAGTGCCGGGGCCAGGGTATCCCGGAGGGGCAGGAGGACAAATTTGCACTTGCGGTGGTGGCACTCCTCCGGGTGTGCCTAAGGAAGGAGAAAGGGGCTGTTAGTGAGCAGAGCCAGGCTCTCCCCAGAGAGGCAATACAGGGAGCTGTTGCACCCACGCACCCAAAGGACCCCTCCCGGTCTACCCCCTCCTCACAGACGATGCCCCACTCCCCTTCGGTATGCAGAAAATCCCCCTGGGTGCCCGCAGTGATCGCTCTCCGAGCCCCGATGGCTGTGCTGTACCTGCAGCCCTCCCCAACCCCGTGGCCCCTCACCTGGGTTGGGGTTCCACATCCTCCACAGCCCTCGAGCTGCAAGGGAAGGACAGGCATCGTCAGCGCTCCCTCGCAGCACCTCCTGGCACGGGGATGTCATCACCCTGCCAGCAGCTGGGACCCAGCTCCTCTGCCCCGGGCGCAGAGACTGCGCTCGCTTCCCCAGGAGTGCCATCCCCCTCCAGACCCCAACAGCAGCCCCATACCTTTGGGTGACAGTGCTGACCCCAAAAGCCACTCTTCCCACCCCTGTGCACCCCCAAAAGCCCGGGTGTGTGGTTTCCATTGTTAACGGAAACAATAAACCAACTCCAGCCAGGCCTGGGGGCTCAGCCCACGCCCCCACGGGCCACGGGGGGCTGGGGACACCATGTCTCGGTGCAGCGCCAGCCATGGGGACGCTGCGCCCTGCCCCACGGGGTGCCCCTGTTCCCACTGCCCTGCCCTGTGCCCCGCCAGGCACTGCTGCCTCAGGGAGCTGCTTTCGCTCACCGAACCTGCAGAAGAGCTCCCAGCAGAGGCGATGCTGGCAGCACCCTCTGAAAGCACCGCCGGCCGTCCTCAGCACAGCTCTCCTGGGGTGGCAGGCACCCGCTAAATACCGGGGCCCTGCCCGGGCGAGGAGGGGCGCGGCGGGTAGGGTGACACCGCCGAGCACTGAAACCAGCCACACCACTCCCTGCACCACGGCTGTCACCATGGGCACACGGGGAACGTCAGCACGCCACTCCCAGCCGGCACAAAGGTCCCAGAAGGCTGATAAAAACTGGGGAGGGAGGGTGGTGGTTTCACCTCCCAGCGTCAGGTGATGGGGTGAGTCAGGCGTCCCCACCACGAGCCCTGGCTCGGTGCTCCCGGTGTGGGCACAGTCCCTGGGAGTGGGGCTGGCACCGGGGGGGGGGGGTCACCCTCCCGCAGGCACCGCTGTAGGACAGAGGGGCTCAGGGTCTGGTTAATGACACCCTGTGACACCACTCGGGGGGGCTGCCCTGGTGTGTGGGTGGAGGAGCTGAGATCTGCCATCAGACCCAGTCAACAGAGACCCTTCCTCTCTGGGGGGGGGGCGGTGGTCTATGAGGAAGGGACAGAGCCCCTCCCATCCCACCCCCATCTCCCCACTAACACCCCTGCTGCTGCCCTGCGTTTGGCAGCGCTCCTTTCCCGGGCCAGTGAACAGTGCAAAGGGCTAGTTTCGTCACGCACCGTCAAAATGACACCTCGTAGAAAGAGAGTGAGCCAGATCTTGCACCCACCCTGTGGGGGTGTCCCAGGGGAGGAGGGGGGGATGGTTTCTGGGCACAGAAACACACAGGAATGTGTGGGGTCAGGAGGTGCCCACACATAGGGATCTCCTCCCAGGCAGTGCCAGGGGGTCACTGCCATCCCCTCCATTGGGATCCCTGTGTCCCCAGGCACTGCCAGCCCAGCCGGCTCCTTCTGCCCCAGGGACAGGGGGGTGGAGACTGGAGTCCAAGCCCCAGACAGCAAAAAATCACCCTTGGCCAGGGAAAGGCCAGTAGGGGACATAACACTGGGACTGCCTGAGGAGAGCAGCTCTCCCGAGGTGGATACCGAAGGAGCCCAGGCAGGGATGAGTGTGTTTCCCAGCTGTATTTACTGCTGCAGAGCCCCCAGCCCGTCCCTGAGCCCGTCTCAGGCCGCCCGCTTCTCCAGCAGCGCCAGCACAAGCGCTGAGCTTTGCTTCGCCTCCTCCAGCAGCCCGGAGACCTTCTGTGACACCTGCGCAGGGAGGGAGAAGGTGTATTGTTCAGCACCCGACAGGACAGAAGAGCAGTCCACCATCCACCCCATGCATCCCACTGGTGGGCAAAGGGAGGAGGTGCCTGGGCACGGAGGATCCCAGGGGCTTCATCTCCATCTCTGTCCCACCTCATCCCCACCACCAGGTCCGGGGCACACGCACTCCCCGTGCTTACCGCAAGCTTGAACTTCTCATCCGTTACGTCTTTGAGGTTGATCATGACGTTGAAGTAAGCCCCGAACACGGCTGCTTCCAGCATTTTGGCTCCCACCTAGCAAAAGAGGCTTGCGAGAAGCTCTCCTGCTGAAGCAGAGGACCACCGTATGGTCCTGCAGCAGGGCAGACCCTTAGGCTGCAGGACTCCCACCCTCCGCCACCCAGTCGCACACAACGCTTTCCAACCCGGTATTTTCAGGATGTAGCTCCGGCAGTGGGAACCGCTCATGGCCTTGCTACACAGGTGAGAAAACTCAGGCAAGGACTGGTGAACATCAACTCCCCTGCAAGGGTTGCAAAGCTGCCAACAAGCTAGTGGGCAGAAACCACTGGCCAGTTTGGGAAGTGCAGCTGGAGAGATGCATCCTGGAGGTCAGGACACGATGGGACACCTTGCAGGGAAAAGCGGTGAGCCCGGCAGGCTCCCAAGTCCCAGACAGGGCAGCCTGTGAGCTCGGGGCCGTACCTGGATGTCAGACTTGCAGGCCAGGTTGCAGTGGCGTGCCAGCTCCTTCAGAGCAGGCCAGAGCCCACTCACCTTCTCTGCCAGGGCACAGGGCACCCTCACGGCTGTCTTCAGCCCCTGTTGCATGGCAGCCGTGCGTCTGGGAGGGGGGGGGGACAGCCCTGGGGTGAGTGCTGGGTGGCCACGCTCCCCCAGCCCGCAAGTCCCCGCCAGCCCAGCTTACTTCTCCCGCTCTTCAGGGGTGCTTTTTGGCAGCTTCATCGCTTCCTGCAGGCAAAAAAAAAAAAAAAAAAAAAGTAGATTTGCTGCCATTCGCTTCAAGACCTTGCGTGCCTTGCTTCGAGGACCAGGGCAGACCCAATAGCTCCCACATTCTTGCAGCCCCCCTCTAGGTGATGATGTCCTTTCCCCTGGCCCTCACTTGGGCCAAGGTCACAGCCCTGCTCCTGAGGACACCGGGATGCAGCGATGTTGGCCCCCCTCCCAGCTGGAAAGCCCCCCCCCGCTTCCCCGCAGGACGTCTGCCAACAGTGGGACCTCACCACGTAACTGCTGAAGGCGCGGGAGTCAGCGTCCACCATCGCCACCAGCTCGTCCATGGCCTGGTGGAAGGGGGGGATCAGCTTCCTCATGATGGGGTCCAGCTCCTCGAACTGCCGCTTCCCGTAGCTCATCAGCCCCGCCATGCAGCCCAGCGCCGCTCCCTGCAAGGGCACGGTGGTCAGTCCTCCGGCGGGGCACAGAGCCCACCGCTACCGCCCTGCCGACTGCCCTCAGGGGCTCAGCGCACCCAGAGGACCCCCCCCCCCCGAGGCAGGCAGGGACCCCATCCCGGGCGGGGGGCACGTACCAGGGCAGCCGCAGCTGCAGACACGGAGCCTCCTCCCAGCGCTGCTGACCTCCCACCGACCGCCCGCACGAAGGCGCCCAGCGGCTTGGCCACCAGCCCCCCATCCACCTCTCCTGCCTGCACCAGGTACCTGCGGCACAGCAGCCCCGTGGGTCAGAGCCCCCCAGGGGCAGGGACACCCACCACCACTACCACCCGGACCCTTCTCACCCGGCACTGTGCTCCCCCATCAGGTTTTCATTCACCCCTTTGCTCTGTGGGTGGCTGAGAAAGGGGCTAACCCACAAAAAAAAAAAAACCACAGTGAAAGGGTTGGGGAGGGGACAAGAAGCCCCGCGGGGACAGACGGACAGTTGGGAGCACGTGTCCTGGTGGTGCGGGGCGGGGGGATTGCTTTGCGTTACGCAGGTCGTGCTCCTGCAAATGACGTTTGGTGGGACAGAAACGCGCCTGCATCCACATCCCCAGGGGACAACAACAAGGACTGAAAGCGCACGTCCTGATTTCACCTTGGCGTGGGTGGATTTCCCTTCCTCTCCCCCCACAGAGATGTGTTTTACACGGTGTCTCTCCTTGGAGGGCAGCGCGTGAGCCGGAGGCAGTGAAGTTTGGGCTGGGGTGGTGGTTTTAACACGCACACACACTTAAGTTGGGCCACAAAACCTGCTCCCGCTGCCTGCCCGAGTGACCTGGAGTCCCCCCCCCACTCCACACTGACACCCAGCAGCATTTGGGAGCAGGGCCCACACCGCGCCTGCGCAACACCCGGCGAAGATGCCCCCTGGGTGTGAAGAGGAGCTGGGTGCAGGCACCGCTCCCAAAACAAGCTGAGTGCAAGATGCAGGCAGCGGGATCCCCCCATCCAGGCAGGGACGGGCGCCCTGACGAGGAGCAGGATGGGGGGTCCCTACTCGATGATGCGCTCCCGGGGGTGAAATGGAGACAGGGAGTCCAGGCCCAGCCGGCTGACCACCTGCAAGGAGCAGCACCGCGGCGTCAGTCCCATCGCAATAATTCCCGTTGCATCCTCATTCCCTGCTGTTAATTAACCATGGGTTAATGCCCTAGGACAGAGTTGCTGGGGCCACCACCTGGGGAAAGGACGGCTGGTGTCACCAGCCCAGCCCAGGCTTGAGGGTGGCGTGCGGCCACCTACAAACGACTGGAAACTGCACCAATAAATAATTAGCTTGCTCTTATCTAGCAGGTTCCCCATAGGGTGGAAAAGTCCCTCCCTCCAGCAGCTGAAAAGCAGAGCCCGTCTCCTCGTTTCCAGCTTCTGCTGGTCCTAGGGCAGTTTCCACCACGCCACACACTGTCCTTGAGCTCCGGGGAGGTCTCCTTCCCCTCCTGGCCTCCACGCAGGGAAGCTGGGAAGCTGCTGCCCGCACTGTCCTCAAGGGATGGGCTCTCTGCTTCCTGAGCATCCCAGTGTCCTCAGGACAATAAAGCAACTCGTCCCACTAGCTGTGCCCTCACAGATTGACAGGCACCATCCCTGAAGACAAGTGTCACGCCTTGGGGCTGCCGTGGTCCCAAATCTCTTCTCAGTGCCACTTTGGGAGGCTGAGGGGCTATGGGGTGTGTGTCTCTCTCATGATCCCACCCTTGCCTTAGTACCAGGAGGAGCCACATTACCAGCCTGATCTTCTGTTCCTCCTCCAGGATGAAAAGTTTTTCCTTCTTGATGTAAAACTCAGCCGTATCCAGCATGGCCTTCTTGGGGACAAGCCCCACCAGCTGGGACCCCACCACAGGGAGGTTCAGTGCCTGCAAAGGACATCAGAAACATGGCTGTCTCCGGAGCCACCTGCCCTGCCACCACTGCCACCCCAGCCTGGTGGTCCTCAGCCCTTCCTAGGACATGGGGAGCTCAGGGAAAAGCCTTCTGCGGAGGAGCTGGGGGCTAGCAGCAAGTCACTGAGCTTGGCTGAGCTGAGCGTGAGATAAAGCAGAGCTTGACCTGGGGATAGGGGGACAAACCTGGAGGGAGACAGATTTTGCAAAGTCCCCAGCGAAACAAGCGTGGCGTGCCGCCCCGCGCCACCCACCTCCGCATCTCGGCAGACCTCCTCATAGACAGCGTGGAGCGGCGTGGTCTCAAAATCCAGCAGGTTCGTTGAAACCTGGGCTATATTCTCTTCCTCCAAATACCAGCCGATGCCCTGCACCTTCTTCAAGCGCCCGGGCTGCCAAGAACTGCCGTGGTCAAGGCATGGCCCGGGAGGCATGGGGGCAAGCAGGTCTGCTGCTGGCATGCCACCGGCATGGGGGTACCTGGTCGGTGCCACGACCCTGCTCGCGGATGTTGAGGGCGATGCGGTGAGCCAGCTCCTTGGTGCACAGCA